GGAAGTCTTTCTCCACAGTCAGAGGCCACAGAGAAGGTTTTCCCCCACTTCTCACTTGTGTGCAGTCCCCGACTGATTTTTCTGTGGGTCAGTGGCCCCTGACTCCACCCCTGGACTAGTCAGGTAAACTGATTTTCCTCTTTCTCCTCCTTAAGCCTCATGTAGATGTTACTGTCAATGGAAAAAATATGGGAATTTGGTCCTAGGCGGTATATATGTATGTTCCCCTTTAGCTGTGCAAATACGGCAGCTACCAGAATTCAAGGGCATGTGTGTCATTTTACACAGCAGTATCAATCCGGCCCCCTCAGGCCCTGAAATTACATGAGCGTGTGCACATGATGGGTTCACACACTCTTGTGTTACAGTCAGAGTGTATTTGCTAGGTGTTCTAATTTGCTAAGTGTCATGATTAAATCATGAAACCCCAGAAAACAGCTCAGCTGTTTCTCCACTACTTTTGATGCTGATGGTATAACAAACAAAATTAAAAAAAAAATAGCTCATATGCATCCAATATTTGGGTGAAGTGGGGTGGAGAAGGCATTATGATGGTGTTTAACTAAGAGGGAGAGGGAGTTGCTAGCAGGCTGAAAAGGCGGGGGGAGGGCGGAGAGGAGGCAGGCAGGCCGACACAGAGGTTGTGTCTACATTGGCAAGATTTTACACAAAATCTTGCCACCTGGCCACGAGTACTTGCGCAAGAACACTGACGTTCTAATGTAAGAAATCAGGGCTTCTTGCGCAAATACTCTGACGCTCCCGCTCAGGGATAAGCCCTCTTGCGCAAGAGGCCAGTGTAGACAGGCAATGTTAATTTCTTGCGCAAGAAAGCCCGATGGCTAAAATGGCCATTGGAGCTTTCTTGCACAAGAGAGCGTCTACACTGGCACGGATGCTTTTGCACAAAAGCACATCTCTTGTGCAAAGGCACATGCCAGTGTCGATGCTCTCTTGCGCAAATACTTTAACGAAAAACTCTTGCGTTAAAAGTATTTGCGCAAAATCATGCCAGCGTAGACATAGCCAGAGAGTTTAAGGTGCTGATAAAACAATTATTTGTACTGCAGTGCAAGTTATCAGTTTGAGATCAGGTGCCATTGTGCTAGGCATCTAAACAGGCTTAATAGAAAAGATCTCCTTGTCCTGAAGAGCTTTGCAGTTTGAAGGACCCTGATTTCTTTGGCTGGTTTTTTTTTCTTCCAAGCTCTCTTTCTGAAATTCTGTTTCAAGAACAAGCAGCTTCATGCTTTTTATTCCAGCGAAGCGGTGGGTCTGTACTCCTCCTGGGGACAAAGGAGGAGACAGAGGCAGAGCCCAAGCTGAGCAGCAGGCTATACTTTAATGATTTCGGACTGCTCAAGTCAGCAGTCTCCTAAAATCGAAAAATCCCACAGAGACAGCCAGACCACACCACTTGAGATCCTACTAGGCCAGTGCTGGCGGAGACATTTTCCCCTGGTGGAAAAATCCTTGAGCTGTTTTGGCCTGCAACAGCTGCATTTTACAACGTTTTTTTCCAGGAAAGCACGCACCTCCCTTTTCCAGAGGACACTGTGGCCAGCCCAGCCCCACGGCCTCAACTGTCCACCCAGAAAGGGAGCTCTGTGGAACTGAAAAACTGCCCTGACCCACCTTTCCCAAAGGGCCATGCCCAGAAAACAAGACTGGGTGAGTGGAGCCTAGAAAGAGGAACTCTGCACCCACTGCACATGTCCTTCATGCCCTCTAGGGAGGGTGAAAGGTTATCTGGTAAGCATCACCCTTAAGGCACGATGCTCACCAGTTCCCAAGTTAACCAGTGAGGGCTGGAGCAGCCACGGGGCAGCCCCTGTCAGCAGTGGCTCAGGTCCCCCGCCTGCTCCCCTTTTAATCAGTTAAACATCACGTTTAACCGGTTAACCGATTAAACAGGATTTTACATCCCTAATTCGCACGGAGAACACAGAGGTGACACACACCCACCCCCAACGCCTCCTAGACAACAGTCTATGTTTGCAGGCCTAGCACCTTATGTGCCACCGAATTTCAGCTCCTTCTCCTTACACAGTGCAAAGCAAGTTTACACTAAACTCAGGTCAGGGCCCCAGCTGGCATTAACTCCACTGTGCAGCTAGGTCAGTTTACGCCACCCGAGGAGCTGGCCTGTGATCAGCACCTTTATCCTCTGTGCATTATTTTTAGAGAGCTCTGTCTTCCAGATGAAGTACAACAGGAAGACTTAACACAGAACTGGATTCGTGCACAAGGAACTGTAGCATTTTTCCACTAGCAGGTCCACCAAGTGAAGAAGAGCAGATGAGCAGGAGGGATTTGGAGACTTAAAGTGGCTTAAAAAAAATAAAAGATTTGCTGGCTAACTGAAATGTGTCATTCTGGGGAGAGGGGGAGGGGGTTTGGCAAACCCTGAGCTTTCATCAGTATAAAGAATATCATCATGAGCTAGGAGAACAAATGCCTTTTATTTAAGCCTCCAACAGGCAGGGTAAAGAACAAAGAACAGTCCTACAGTGAGTCCTAATAAATATTGGGCCAGATCAGCAGTGGGCAACCTGCAGTGCCCCACCCCCACCGTCTTCCACACGCTTCCCATGCAATGGGAGTGCACTCACTCCTCCCCTCCTTCCCAGCACTTCAGGGGCACCATGAGTCACTGCGTTCAAGCTCTGAGAGGGAGGGAGGGGGAGGAGCAGGAACAGGGTGCACAAAGTGCCGGGAATTAGCGGGAGCAGTAGGTAGGGAGGTTTAGGTTGGACACTAGGAAAAACTTCCTACTTGTCAGGGTGGCTAAACACTGGAATAAGTTGCCTAGGGAGGTTGTGGAATCTCCATCGCTGGAGATATTGAAGAGGAGATGGGACAGATATTATCAGGGATGATCTAAGCGGTGCTGGGTCCTGCCGTGGGGGCAGGGGACTGGACTCGATGGCCTCTCCAGGGCCCTTCCGGTTCTAGTGCTCTAGGATTCTGTGATTCTAAGTGGGGGGCTCCAGCTCCCCAGTGCATGAGAGGCTTGAGGGAAGGGGACAGAATGGGATGTGCAGGCCACAGCTGGCTCCCCCAATAGGCTGCAGGCTGCCCAACCCTGGATTTCAATCACGCGGCCCACTGAGACCAAGGAGGGCCACCCATACGGCCCACTCGCTAGTCTTGGCTGCCCATCGCTAGGCTAGATTCTGGCAGGCTCTGCACTGATGCTCAGAGGGGTAGATGACAGGAAAGATTAAGGTACCAGACCGAGACCCAGAAAACCTAGGCTCTATTCCTGCTTCTGCCACATACTGGCTGCATCACCTTTGCAGAATGGGGATAAGACAAGAACACAGTGAAGGATGGACTTGCTGATCTTTACGGTAAAAAGTCTCGGCGAGCATATGCCCTACTAAATCTGTTAGTCTCTAAGGTGCCACGGGACTCCTTGCTTTCACTGATCTTTGAGATGCCCCTGAAAGCCAGTAAATACACAGACAGTTCAATGTCATTGGAATATAGCTTCAAATAAACTATTTTATTTCAGCCTCTTCACATTCTCCATCCCTCACGCCCCACTGTGCCCGGGCATGGCACAAGGAGGACTAAACTGATAAGTGCCACAAGGACAAAAGGGTTAGCTCGTTGCAAAAGGCAACAAGGCAGCACAGTCAAGAAAGCTTCCCCTGAGAGTTTGCTGTATAGCCAGGAAAGAAGAAACCGACATGAGACATTCCTCAGGGCAATGCAGAACAGATGAACATGGTATCTGGCACCTTAATCCCGACCGCTGCATGTGCAGGGTGGTGGATAAGCCACAAGATGAAGTACACAAATGCAGACAGAGGCAATCCAAACCCAGATCCAAAAGCACAAGTCTCCCCAGGGCTCGCAAGCCAATGCTTTCCCCTCAGCCTTTCCCTCCTCCTGCGATACTTGTCTTCCATGAATAACAAACCAAAATTACCAAGGATTCCAGCCCCCCCAGACAGAACAAGCGACATTTCCCAAGACATTAAAAATCCAGCTTGCGTGAATGTTACACTTGTATTGTCTGCACATTAGGAAGAAGGTGCTGGGGGCTGCTCTTTCATCTCAGTGTTGTCTGGGTGGCAGATGTACAGGAGGCAGAGTTATATAAAGAGAAGAGAAACCTACATGAGAAGAGAAATCTTCCAGACAAGCAACTTCTTGGGAAACCCTGGGTGAAAACGCTTTCTTGGTGCACACGCACTGAGGCCAGTACTTTGCACCAAGGATAGGTTTGGTTCTTGCTCGCCAGGGGATATGGGCCTGGGCAGCAAGTCAAGATTCGTGGGGGTTTCTACATTCCCTGACTTTGGACAAAGTCACTTCACCTCCATCTGGTTCCCAATTGTATAACAAGGATAATGATGATCAACTCCCTGGAACTGAGCTCAGGGATCTAAGAGCTAAGCATTACTACTCCGGATACGGCTTCCCAAGAACCACATGGTGAACAATGTTCACACCCTGGCTTCCTGGTGCAATCAGTCGGAAGCCCCACTAGCATTTTATGGTGCCACATCCTATAGCAAGCTCACATTTCACTGGATGTCCACGGTCACTCGGAGGTCCCTTTTGGTATCACCACTTGCTTCATCTCTCCTTCTCAATTTGGTTATGAACTTAGACCCACAGGCAAAAACGAAAGCACACAGGAGGCCTCCATTTCCCCACAGAGAACAGAGACCCAAGATGGCTGCTGATATGCCACAGCCCAGACATTCTCTTTCACGGAAAGCCATGCAGAGCAAAGGATAACTTACTTCAAAGGAGCACAGGGCTGGGTATTCAGTTTAAGCCAGTACATAATACGGGAGCAGTTCCTGGTTTCAGCTCACTATCCTGTGACCAGGGTGCTGCCAACAAAAGTTGCTCAGATCCAAAGAGCCAGGGTGAAGGCAGAGTCTCCCTGCATCTTCAGTTTGGTTCTAAACTCACAGGGCGGGATGACTTCCCTGTGCATACAGCCAAGGAGAAAGGGGGGGTGGAGATTGTTGCATTACCTGCCACTTCCACAATATCCCCAGGAACAATATCCCGAGCCCGGATCCTCTGGACTCCACTCCTGTCGGCACGGATCACCTTTCCCATTTCTGGCTCATATTCCTTTAAGGCTTCGATAGCGCTCTCCGCATTTCTCTCCTGTGAACACAGCATGCAGCAGAGCTTCAGGCAGTTGTACCGTTAGATGGTGACAACACATGATGTTGGGTAGCGGTTGATATGCAGCCCTTCCCCTATTTTGCTGTCTAGACAGAGGTATGAGCTACTTGTGCCAACAAGGGATGAGGAGCCAGGACTCCTGAATTCTAATCCTGGCTTTGAAATCTACTTGCTTTGCGATATTTAACCTTGCCATGCACTTCATTGTCCCCATAGGCTAAAGAGAAACACATTTACCTACTTCAGATAGGGGAGGAGTAGTGGATAGCTGCACAGCAGTATATAAGGTGCTACATCTTGTGATAAGTTTTATGTGCCACAGGCAAAGGGATATGAAGCTATTTCAGAGGTATTGGCAGTTTCATGAATGCACAGAGCAACAGAGTCAGAACTTCTGGGGTGCATCGAGACTGGCAAGTGCTTTTGCGCAAAAAACTTGCCAGCTGTCTACACTGGCCGCTTGAATTTGCGCAAGAGCACTGACTTTGTAATGTGCAAAATCAGTGCTTCTTGCGCAAATACTTTCACGCTCCCACTCGGGAAAAAGCCCTCTTGCACAAGAATACTTGCGCAAGAGGGCCAGTGTAGACAGGGAAGAACTGTTTTGCACAAAAAAGCCCCGATGGCTAAAATGGCGATCGGGGCTTTCTTCCACAAAATCGTGTCTAGACTGGCCACGGATGCTTTTGCAAAAAAGCACTTTTTGCGCAAAAGCATCTGTGCCAATCTAGACGTGCTTTTGCGGAAATACTTTTCATGGAAAAACTTTTCCGTTAAAAGTATTTCCGCAAAATCATGCCAGTCTAGACACAGCCTTGGTGTCTAGATCCAACTTTGCTACAGACTCACTCTGAAACCCTAGGGAAAAGTCATTTAACCAAGTCTTGCCTCAGTTTCCCTCTCTGTGACCTAGGGGTTAATGCTTGCCTAGTGGAACCACTATGGTGGAGCTTTGAGATGAGTGTTTGGAAAAGTACTTTGAGGTTCTTGCACACGGGAAGAGTTCTGAACATACAAAGGAGCATTAGTATTTTGGAACTGTATCAAGTGGAACAACAGGCTCTCAGGAGCAGGGGAGGGCCTCATCACAGACCCTTGAGCCAAATTGGGTCTTGCTCCTGGGAATATGGACTTTCTACTCAGACACACTTTGGTTCAACTAGCAGCACTGCTGAACACTGGATGTCACAATTATATCATTTCAAACAAGCTTGAAACTAAATTAAACAGCTGTTTTGAACTATTAAATGCCCCCTCACGTCCTCCACTTAATCAGAATGGATACGGTCTTGCAAGATGTTCCAGGGAACAACAACAGGCAAATGAAAGTGTTTGGCAATGGCTGCTGCCTCATTCGGGGAGCATTAAGAAGTTTGCTTAATGAAAATACTGCCAAAAGCTAAGAGGTGTTTAACTAAGTGTGACATCCTAAACTCCAAACTCTGAACTGCCAAATAAAGAGTAAGGGATGACAAAATTCTATTTTTATTTGGGATGGCATTTTATATCCTTTTTAGGTTCTTGCAGATTTTTTAAGTGAGCTCTACAGGGAGAGCTCACCACCGTAAGGAGCAGGCACCTAGTTACTGACTTTGCCAATTCCTGGCAAGCTGAATCCCTGTTCTCTACACTGGGGCTATGTCTACACTGCTGGCTTTTGCTGGCAGAGAGTGTGCAAATGAAGTGCTGATTAGCATTTTGTTGTGCTTCATTTGCATAATCTATTCACGCCGTTTTTTCCACAAAAATAAGCAGTGTGGACGTTTCCTTTTTGTGCAAAAACCCCGTTTTGCACAAGATCCGTATCCTCGGGCAGCGTAGACAAAGCCTGGGAGTTTCTGTTTGTTTTTCGGGCCCCTTTTTCCCTTGTGCAGACCAGGCTCCAGCTTAGAGTCTGGCTCCTCATTTTTGGCAATTAAAAGCTTGCTTTCATTAATCTCATGTTGGGTTCATGTTTTCTTTACCAGCCCCTCAAAGCCCCAAAGTCTCGTTTTTATTTTTTCACAGCTGCACAATACTTCTCTCTCCCCGTGTTGGTCTTCACTGCAAAGTTAACTCAAAGTTATCGCTGGAGTGTTACCCCTTACCCGAGTCCCCTTCACAGAGGCAGGCTGGTGCTTCTACCTCAAGTGAGGGCAGCTGGCCAGCTCTGTGCGAGTGTAATTTCCCAGCATGGCCACTCTCCCGCCAGCTTGGCTCGCTCGAAAAAGAGCAAACTGGATTACAGGGAACTCAAGGTCACTCTGCCTTGCAAGCCTAGGCCTTGAAACTTGGTTCCAACTCATGAGCTTCCATCTGCAGTGCCAGGGCAGGTGGAACTTCATTCACACAGGCTGTCCAGTGCCAGGCACCTAGCAAATGGCTCCACTGCCCCCAAACAAGCCTCGTAGCAACCAAGAAGGGAGACCGAAGCAGTTACTTACCTGCCACACCCCCACCACGGCATTGGCCAGGAGAATCATCATGATGACAACTGGCTCTACAAATGCAGTCGTGGTCTCTTCACCTTCTTCAAACCAGGCCAGGATCTGTAGGAAGGCACCACACAGTGTAACTGGCTGTTTAGGGCATGACTCAAATCCCACTAGGGATGTTAAGTAACGGTTAATTAGCTCATTGAGTAGTCGATGGAATTTTTAGTAAGGGGGGGGGGCTCACTACCGCCGCTGTGGCTCTGCATTTTACATGTTGTAAGAGCCACTGGGCTCTTACTACATTTAAAGTGCAGAACTGCGGTGGGGTTAGATTCCAGGGCCGGGGCGAGCTGGGACTGAACAGTCACGACTCCCACCGGCTCTGGGATCACTGCAGCTCTGCCTCCCCTGCCCACCCTGCACCGCGGAGACGGTGCTGGGGGGAACTGGCTTCTAAGCCTGTGCTTATCGGGTAGTCGACTACTCCACTAGTCACTTACATCCCTAAACCCCACTCAAATCACTGGCAGCCCTTCCCTCCCCTGGGCTTTGGACTGGGCCCTCCATCCACCTACAGGATCTTTACAGAGCATTCCTAAAACTGAAATACCCACCTGGGGAACTGAAAAAACAAAAGTACCCAGACATGAACTACTTCAAGACAGACCCAAAGGAGAAAACAACAGAACCCCTCTTGTCATTACCTATAGTCCACAATTCAGACCCCTCCAGCGCATTATACACAATCTACAACCCAGCTTGGAACATGATCCCTCACTCAGAGGCTTTGGGAGAAAAGGCTATTCTCGCTTACAGGCAACCCCCCAACCTGAAACGAATTCTTTCTGGTAACCATGCCACACAACCACATCATAAGCCTCCAGGAACCCATCCCTGCAACCAAAACCGATGCCAACTCTGCCCACATTATCTATACTGCCTAATTCATCACTGGAGCCAACAACATAAGCTCTGGAGCAACATAAGGTCGACTGCATGTCCAGTAATTTGATCTATGCCATCAACGCCCCGCTGCTATATATTGGACAAACTGGACAGTCTCTGCGGGAAAGAATCAATGGACACAAATCAGATATACGTAAAGGAAACATACAGAAACCGATTGGGGACCACTTCAATCTTCCGAATCACTGTTTAAAAGATCTTCAAGTGGCTGTCTTGTCACAAACCAGATCTACAAGCCAGATCCACAGGGAAGCACTGGAATTAGAGTTCATCCACAAATTCAATTCACATGCTAATGGACTCAATCGTGATGAAAGTTGGTTGGGGCACTACCAATTTAACAGGCGTTAAAGGTGCAAACAGCTCTTTATGTAGACTCCTAAGTCAGGAAGGATACCATCAATTGACGGATTCTTATCTGCTTTGTTTTAACTACCTAATCTTCAGATACTTACTGATTCCCTCTAGCTCCCTGTCTCCCACCCCCCTTTCCTTTTTTTCTCCTCCCTTCCCCCTCTCCTATGAATTTTGGGTCTGCACATCCTAAACTCATAATTCTGGTCATCTGATGAAGTGGGCTGTGCCCACGAAAGCTCATGATACCATCTATATGTTTTGTTAATCTATAAAGTGCTACCAGACCATTTGTTGTTTTTTTTATTGCCCTTAGTGTCGGGCCAAGTCTACACTGGCAGTGTACAGCACCAAAACGTTCTGGCTCAGGGATGTGAACACACACACACACACACACAGTTATAGCGCTGTAAAGCACCAGCGTGGACCAAACTACGGCACTGGGAGCCAAGCTCCTGGCAGTGTTAACTACACTGGTGGTTTCCATAGGGCACTGGAGATCATGCTGTGGCCACTGTTAGGTGTAGATAAAGGCTTAGACTCTCTGGCTCAACAAGGTATCCAAGCACGTGCTTAAACTGAAAACAGGATTGCCTGTATCACGTTCAATGTAACGGGACCATGCGGGTGCTTCAGATAAGCTTCTGCCTCAGCAGCCTGCTGAATTAGCGATTAGAGTCCTGAGGCACCCGGAGCTAGGAATGAGATGACCAAGCAAGGAAAGCAAAACACATGCCGGTGAGGAAAAAAATCCTCTCTCATGCCCACATTTTTGCTCCTTGAGCTGCTTGCCAAAACATTTATATGCTAAGATCATAGCACCGCCACAACGCCACTGTAACGCACTCAAATGTCAGCTCATTCAGTGTGTGGAGGTATCAGAAGGTTCCCACGCCCAGGTTGGTATTTTGGGAGGGAGTCCATCTGCAATTCTTCCTGTCAGAAACCAGTCCCACCTAGAACTGCTGAAAGACAAATTACAAAGCAAACTGGTTTTTTTTGCCAGCAACCCTGAGATGCCAAGTCAGGCTGGAAATGGAGCTGCCCGGATTTGATCGCCCTTTGAGTGGCGTGGCAACAGGTCATTTTCACAAGACAATTACCCACCGATATGGGATGCCTTTAATTAAAAAATGATAAAGCAGAGAGGTTGGGAGATGGGAGGAGATTTGCCAGCTGGTTGCTTATTCAAGTGGACTGGAAACCAATTTGTTCCTGCGTGGCTCACATTACACTTCACTGACGTATATTTGGGTTTGGAAAGAACTGTCGCTGAATGGGATATTTTCAATGAATCCCAGGAGATCTGTTTATTTTTCCCCTAGATTCTCTCTTTATCCACTTAAGGTTTTGCACAAGCAGAAAATAAGATTAAGGCAGTAAAAGCGCCTTACTCAAAACGTTATGACTGTGCAAGTCAGGATTCAGAAATAATAGCGTCTCAACGTTCTACTTCACATGAGACAGTCAGAACTGACAACCTCAGCGTGCATCTGGGACGTGATCCGGAATCGGGACACAAAATCCCGTTTAAGTGGTTGAACATTATGTTTAACCGGTTAAAGAGAGGGGCAGCCCCCCTCCCCCCACTACCAAAGACAAGGACTGCTCTGGCTGGCCGGAGTAACCCCTGCCATGGTCAGGGGCTCCTTTGGTCACCTGGTGAAGCAGCTCCTGCCTACGGTGGACCCCACTGATTAACCATTCATATTTCTAATCCAGAACCCACCGAAGTCGATGGAAAGACTCCTCTGAACTTCAGCTGGGGCTGGGGCTGGGTAAATCACCAAGCATTCACCAAGTAAATCATCATACATGTTCCTAAATTTCCCTCTCTGCACTCTTGCTTAGCTGCTATGGGACTTTCTCCCCGTGAGTTCTGAAGATAGAGAAATCAAGGAATCCTGATATAAATGGATTAAAACGTGTTCACTCCACATCTTGGTATAACCCGTCCTTGCTCAGCCAGCAATAACGCTGGTGCGTGGCTCTGGGCTCTACTATTATGTTCAAACCAGAACATAACATAACATAGCAGCCATACAGGGTTAGACCAAAGGTCCAATTAGCCCAGTATCCTGTCTTCCAACAGTGGCCAAAGCCAGATGCCCCAGAGGTAATCATCAAATGATCCCTCTCCTGTAATCCATTTCCAGCCTTTGACAAACAGAGGATAGGGATACTATTCCTACCCATTCTGGCTAATAGATTCGTGGAGGGTAGCCCATCAGTGGCTATCTACTTCTTTTTTTTAATCCTGTTAAAGTCCTGATCTTTACAACATCCTCTGGCAAGGAGTTCCACAGGTTGACTCCTGACTCCAGTAAACCAATACATGAGGTAGCTGGGGACATAAGGCAACTGTCCATGAAGGAAAAAGGATCTGTATCCACAGCATGGTCCCCATATTCCTAGAAGCTGAGAGTCTAATAAAAGAGTCATGTGAGTTCCATCAGAGACAGAGAGACGGGTCCCTAACAGACAGAGAGCACTCGAAATCAGTCAGAGGCAGTTTAGGAGACTGAACACTAGAGTTCCGAGTCACTCTCCTTTTCTGCTTTGATGACTGAGACAGCACATCCAAACAAGTAATCGTGTGTGTTTAACTAAACAATCAACCACCTTTGAGAGCAGAGGGACACTGATTCAGGGCACAGCTACACTCCACAGCTTTTAGCGACAAGTACAAAATGCATCCACTCGTAACCAGCACGTTTTGCTTTGTTGGCAGGAGAGCACTCCAGCGGAGAAAGCGGCATTCACATGTGCACTTGCTGCAGTGGAGCCTTGTCGTTCGGGGGAGGGGTTTAAGCACTCACAAACAATAAAAACTGTCAAGCAAGAGCAAATGTAGACACAGCCGTAGTGATTATTGCTCAAGGGAGTAGCTGTGACATCCTGCCAGCATGCGCACATGCATGCACACACACGCACACACTTTACAAAAGCCTGGTGTTTTGCTGACAAACACAAGGAACATGAGGGCTAGACCAGTGCTGTAGGTCCAGCTCAAATCCCCAGCACTCTGCGGGTTTCACAGCAACTCCAGCATTCAGAATTCCAGACATCAGGACAGGTTTTCAAGTACTGCACGTGAAGATTACTCACCAGACGAGTCTCTGGCATGTGCAATGCTGCTGTCACATGGGTAGTTATGGGTACCAACCAGGCCCATGCACTGTTGTACAGGCGATCTCTCTGAAAGTCAGGGCCTGCGGTCCTAGGATTGCTTTAGCTTTTCAGACATGCCACCTGAATCCCTTATAGGAAAGTCTCTTATTCAGCAGCAAAGCCAAATGCATAAAGCATGATATAGTTGCCTAGCCAGTATGCAATTCTCTGAATGCAGGCCCTAAACCAGGGACAGGCAATAATATTTAATGGGGGGGGGGACACTCTTAAGATTTTGGCAAGTGGTCAAGGGCTGCATTTGTACAGAGAGGTGTGGTGTCTGGGATGAAGGTTGGGTGCAGAAGGGAGCTTGGGGTATGGAGCTGGCAGGCAAGGGGGGGTGTGGAGTCAGAGGGAGTTTGGGTGAAGGAGGAGGTGGTGATCTGGGGAAAGGCTTGGGATGCAGAGTCCAGAAGGGGGTATGGGTGCAGGAGAGGATTCTGGTCTGGGGTAAGGGTGTTGGAGGTGGTACGGAGTCTGGGAGGGAGTTGTGACCTGGGAGAAAGGGGAGGAAGAGGGTGCAGAGGGCTTGGGTGGTGCACAGACCAACCAGGTAATATATGGACTTTGCGCTGATGCACTCTATATTTTTTCAGAACAGCAACAGATGTGGGAGAGGTCAC